TACCCAATAAGCCTAGACGCAGCAAGGGGGAAGCAAGAGCTGGTGCTGCGAGGGCTGGCTTAAAAGCCGGCTCCCCCAAGGACTCCCTCCATGGTGCGGGAAGTAGTGGAGGCACAGATGTAGTGGTCTGGAGCCCAGTGTGAGCCAGGACTGTTGAGTCCCAGCTTGCGCCACATCTCAGGCCTACTCCTGCTGTGGCCCTGCAATTTAAATGCAGTAGGAGTCAGCCTCAACAGGGCCCCTTTTTGACTAATCGAGTACTCGATACAAATTGTATTGAATATATGATAAGTCAATTACCCGCTTCTTAACCCTTAGAAAATGCACAGATATGGCAATTCATATCTGTAACAGAAGTTTCTATAACATACAAGCTCTGTATCTCTTGGACATATGGAGAAAGGGGTAAACAGTGAGGTGGCAAAATTTGCAGACAATACAAGACTGCTCATGCTAGTTAAGTCCACAGCCAACTGTGAAGAGTTTCAAAGGGAGCTCACAAAAGTAGGTGAGTGGACAACAAAATGGTCAATGAAATTCAGTGTTGATAAATGCAAAGTAACGCATATTGATAAACACAATCCCAACTATATGTATACAATGATGGGGACTAAATTAGTTATTACCACTCAAGAGACAGATGTTGGCATCACTGTGGACAGTTCCCTGAAAATATTCACTCAGTGTGCAGCAGGAGTCAAAAAGCAAACAGAACGTTGGGAATCATTAAGAAAGGGATAGATCATAAAACATGGAGAATCTTATTTCTTTTATCTACATCCATGGTGCACCCGCATTTTGATAACTATGTGCGGATGTGATTGCCTTATCTCAAAAAAGATATTGAAATTGGAAAAGGTTCAGAAAAGTGCAACAAAAATGGTTAGGACTTTGGAACAGCTCCCCTATAAGGAGAAATTAATAAGACCTGGACTTTCCAGCTTGTAAAACATGACAAATGGGGACTATTACAGAGGTCTATAAAATCATGACTTGCATGGAGAAAATAAATAAGGAAAAGCTGTTCCCATAACAAAAGAATTAGGCATCACCAAATGAAATTAATAGACAGCAGGTTTAAAAACAAACAAGAAAAAGTATTTCTTCACACAATGCATAGTCAACCTGCGGAACTCTGCCAGAGGATGTTGTGAAGGCCAGGATTTTAATAGGGTTTTAAAAAGAGCTAGATATATTAATGGAAAATAGGTCTTTCAATGGTTATTAGCCAGTAGGGGCAAGGATGGTGTCCTTAGCCTATGTTTGTCAGGGCTGGGAAGGGGTAACAAGGGATGGATCACTTGATGATTACATGTTTTGTTCATTCCTTCTGGGGCACCTGACATTGGTCACTGTCAGAAGATGGCGTACTGGGCTAGATGGACTTTTGATCTGACCCAGTATGGCTGATCTATGTTCTCATGTCTCTTTGGGCTAACCCAGGCAGAGGACATCTTGTCTAGGCCAAGAAAACCTTGTCTTCCAGAGTCCAAATAGTCTAGAGATCAACTTTTCTAAGAGATCTGCCTAATTTTACCCTGACTGCAGTCTATCAATTCCTGTTGACTTCAATGACCACAAGAGCAAGACCCTTCTGTATAAATCCTCTTTTGGAGGGAGGGGGGACAGAATACTCATTTGTCTTCTGAATAACATATTCAATTAGTCTGGAAACCAACAATGGTGACTTTTATTTTGAAAAGTAAATTAATATGCATGAACACAACTGCATTTGTGTCTTACTAGGTTAGCTTTTTTCAGTCTAAAAAAGATGTCTGGAAACATTTTACTCTGGTATCTACATTTTGCACACAAAAAATAGGTAAACATTCACATTCCAGCATAATAGTATGTTAAGGTTGATCAGTCACTGTCACAAAGGCACACACCCTACACCAAAAAAATTTAATCAGTTGCTTCCCAAAGCCAAATTATCCTATTGAAGTACATGGCACAATCCCAAACATTAAGAGCTAACTCACACCTACAAGTATTTCTTATTCGGCATTGACCCACACTTGGACAGTTGCCTTCTACACTCGCCAGTGGCCATGTGCCACACCAAGCCACAGACCCAGGAAAGCACAATTGCAGCTGCAATATTTGGTACTGAATGCCTGATGTACCACCCCCTAAGGCTGAATAGCTCTGCTGATTGTGTGAGGGGCCAGAGCAATCGCCCTTGATTCCTCCCTCCTTCTATTGGTGTGGGTAGTGGTAGTGTAGGTACAGACCAGTCTGGGAACTCTGAAAAATGTATGCATTACAATGAGAGCCAGCTCCTGTAGAAGAGGCACAAATGACAGGTACCTTCATATACTCTTCCTTTTGTACACACAGGACAATACAATGGTGAATTGACTTCCTTTATTGGCATTTGACACAGTCTTAAAGCTGCTTTATTATAGTTCAGTTGTAAAGAATCTTAGGCATTTAAGGCAATTAGGAACAACTGACTCATAGATCTGTTTTGGCATTGAAGTCTAAGACTGGCTATAGGCTGCCTTTTCCAAACACCCAACAAGTTTTCATGTAATCTAAATTACTGCATATCACATATACTCAACCTGTACAATAATTCAAATGCAGACAAAACTTGCTTAAGAAAACAGAGTTGACTAATAACTGCCTGTGACATACCTTTATCACAGGATATTTCCTGCTCAATTAAATAAAAACAGCAGCTGGTATGCCAAAAAATAAATACATAAATAAAAAAATGTTGAAGCAAATCTGGCAGCATCTTTCAGTGTTCGCCTGCATTTTAGGGCAATAGCGATTCTGCAATTCCATACTATCCTTGTATGAACAGGCACTACTCTAAAAACAAACAAAATCCTGGTTGTAGACTAGCAAGTAAGGTTTACTAGTTAGGAGATCAAGTGGCTGCACCACTCATCATTAGACATACTCATAAGGAAACAGGAAGACACCAATAGCTCAGTTAGCAATATGGTATCTGTCTCTGGTGTAATACAATTCTGAAAGTTATGAGATGGATATTATGCACTGACTTGTTCAGTCTATATAAGATACAGCATGAGGAAAAGAGAAAAGATACAATGGAGACATAATTTCTGCCTCTATTCTCCACCTTACCCCCTGCCACAATATCTTTGTAGTGTTGTGTGCCTGAACATTACTTAAAATACCACTCAGGAGTGCAGTTTATAGGCTTTTCCTCCCAAATAGTCTTCAGTCGCTGTGCCCAGGAGGCCAACATCTCCTCTCTCTTCTCTTCTGTCACATACTCTGCTGCAAAGCAGATCTGAGGAGCAAGGACTTTGAAACCACAGAAGTGCATTATACCATGCTAGACTCAAAAAGACAGGAGACAGGTCAGAAAAGGGTTCAATTACATTTTTGCTAAGGTTAAAGAATTCAGATTTTAAAAATTTCTCTTACTCCACGTGACGCATGCTTTCTTTGATGAAACAGCATTGCTTTTAACTATCCATTTGGAAAGAGAAGAGAATGCGGCAATATCTTTGCAACCATGCTTATGGACAAGTGCTGAAGGCTAACCTATGATGTGCAATCTGCTGGGAGATTAGACCAATTTTACATGCTTCTGAGTTTGATTAATGTTCCTGGTGCCATAGCTCATGGAACATAACCATTTTGAAATGCTATTTAAGCTATATAATTATCCCCTTCAGCCATCAAGCTTGGAAGTGTATGGCAGTTGACCATTTAGTATTCTACTGACTCTTCTTAGATTAATTTCATTCAGTAACAATGTTTCATCCCTGTACCTCTAGATTTGTTGTAGGCCCTTCAGAATCTAGCTTGGTCATGCAATTCTGATTCATGTAGTTCTGAATGAGTTACAATGCTCTCTGCATCAGCTAAAGTCACTAACATGCCTCCACTCACTTTGGAACTTCTGGATGGCTGTGTCTACACTGCACCCCTTTTCCGGAAAAGGGATGCAGATTAGACACATCGGAATAGCAAAATCCGCGGGGGATTTAAAAATCCCCCGCGGCATTTGCATTTACATGGCTGCTGCTTTTTTCCGGCTTGGGAATAAGCTGGAGAAAAGCGCCAGTCTAGACGTGATTCTCCGGAAAATAAGCCCTTTTCCAGAAGATCTCTTATTCCTACTTTCAAGTAGAATAAGAGATCCTCCGGAAAAGGGCTTATTTTCCGGAGAATCATGTCTAGACTAGCGCTTTTCTCCGTCTTATCCCCAAACCGGAAAAAAGCGGCAGCCATGTAAATGCAAATGCCGTGGGGGATTTTTAAATCCCCCGTGGATTTTGCTATTCCGATGTGTCTAATCTTCATCCCTTTTCCGGAAAAGGGGTGCAGTGTAGACACAGCCGATATGTTTAGAGCGAACACTCTTCCATTAGTCACCTTTTGAATGATTCAGCCAAATGATGCAACCCACTCAGGGCTTCTCTGGGGACACGGAGGAAACCATGGTGTCTGGACGTGCTAGTCTTGCTTGATTATAGGGTACAGAGCAAAAGTGGATGGCTGACGCAGGAGCCACAAATAATGCCAATAGCTAGAAATGGCAAAAGAGTTTGTTAAAAGATGGGAGTGTTTCTGGAAGAGCGAGATCAAGTGACTTAACTAGTTTCTGTCAGCAGGTAGAGGTCACAGCACACCATGCCAGCCACAGATTTCTCCCAACAAGCTGGCTCTTCCCATTAAAACTACAGGAGAAGCAATATTGCTAACTCTCACAACATCATCATGAGCATCAAGATATTTGGTGTGTCATAAAGACCCAGCTACCTACATCATGCTTTTAAATGCAAGTCTCTTCAAATTTTTTCCCTCACAGTTTTCTAGTTTCTCTACCACATGAACACTACAGTCTCAAATCAGATGACAAATAAGTACCTAACATTTCTCTTTCAAAAGCAGATGGTTTTTTTTAAAGTAATCATGATTTAAAGTGAAAATAATGTCTTAGCTATTATATGCTATGAGTTGGCAGTACTGTGAAGGTACACCATTAGTGAACAAATATTCATATATTGTACCTGCATGGGCCACAAGAGATAGCGAATGTCACCACTGACCCCTCCCTTTGAAAACATCTCTTCATCTCCTCCAGTGGTAAATGAAAGAAGGGCTAGTTTATCCTGGATTGAAGAAATAAAAAGGATGTAGGCACATTTTCCTGAAGAACAAGTAGCCCATTAGCAAAAAAGGACACTTCAGCAACACTACGTGAACTTGGCAGTACAGAGATGGATGTGGGTTCTGACCCCCCATTGTGTCCTACTATCTTGGCCTTTCCAGAGTACCACTTACTACATCTTTGGTACACAACATGTTGATATATGAAGTGTGTGAAGACCAATCTGTGGGAAAGTGCGTATAAAAATGCAAGTAACTTCGGCCTTAGTTTTTCCCACCTGTAAAATAGGGAAGATACTTGCCCTCCCTTATAAAGTGCTTTGAGATCTATGGTTGGAAAACACTGAGTGCTAAGTATGTTTATGCTCCTCCCTTTCCCCCAGATGGTAATTGGTAGTTTCCCTTTAAAGCTTCCTAGTTGTCTGAGAATCACTTAATTGGGGATCTGCTGTGTTCTTTAGGTATATTCCTTTCACTGAATATTTGATCAGGCCCATGTTTCTTCTGATTTCACAAACATGGGATCTGACTCGGATGTGTATCCCAGCATCTAACTCTTACTTATGGCAGCCAAGAGAATATTTCACATGTGAACTGAACATAATGGCTGCAGCTGCCTCATTGTCCCAAGTTTGCTAACAGGAAAAAAAAGATCGCTTTCAAAGAGTCTGAATTTCCGGCATTCGTCTCAATGGGCTATTTCAGAAATCTAATAATGAAAACGTACGTTAGTATTGTTAAAATGACCAGCAATATAAATAGCTAAGTAATCTACAGAACCATAATTGTTGAATATTGGATGTGAGCAGTAAAGCAGTGAGTGTCAAATCTTCGGTTAACAACTAGCTGTGCTATTCACCATGCCAAGAATAGCTCCAAAGTTATGAATTGGTGTGTGAACATGCCAGTCTTGCTTGATTATAGAGTAGAGGAAAAAGGCAGAAGTGGATGGCTGGGACAGGAGGTCACAAAAATCTACACACATAAACCACAAATAATACTGAGCACTCCATTTATATGACTCCTAATGAAGTTTTGTGCCGAGTCCAAAATCTGATATTAATCATAGAGCAGAAACCTTTCTACCCAATACACTGCCATCATTTGTTATAGAGCAGTGGCGGGCAACCTGGTGGGTGGCAAGCTGGCTAAGCTCTTGCTGAAGTGATTATAAAATGCTGCTGAAATATGAATTTTTTTCTTAATGTGTATGGCATCTAAAACCTAGCACAGGAGGATTTCTAGTTATTTTAAAATAATACAAATCTGTTGCACACCTCAGAAAACAAATGTATCAAACAAATCTTTCCCTGCAGAGTCTGTAATCCACTTGCAGAAAAAAACGTCCAAGGCAGGATGAAGACAAGGGTGAAAATAGCATATGGTTACTTAAAGAAGCTGGCGTACATCTTGATGTCCTCTTTCTATAACCGTTCTCCAATGCATGTTCTCATAGGCAAGGTAGATCTGCCACAGGATATTGTGTGAGAGTAGATAAGAAATGGTTCAAAGTGTTTCTTTGACAAAGCCTGTAGTTATACAGACACTCCTTTCCTTTTCCAAACCAATCCCAACTTCCCAGTCCTACGCAAAATTAAACAAAACCTCTATCCTACACAGAGTTTTGATGCTGAAAAGGTAGAAATGCACAAGACTCCACAAAGTCCTCTATGAATTTTGCTGTTGGTTTTAAAACGATGCTCAGATACTACAGGACTGTATAAAATGCTAAGGGACAGAGATGAAATAAGTTTTAAGGCAGGATTTTGAATGATCACTGAGTACCACTAAAAAGCCTAAATTTGTGAACCCTCATTTATCCACTTCGGTTAAAAATGGAGAGTAAAAGCATGGGAACAGACAGGGATTATACAAAAACATTGTTTGGCCTCATGTAACAGCCTGGGGAACTCACCTTGAGCAAGCCATTATCGTAATACTGTGGGAAGTTGTAAGCAAATCCTTGGACCAAGACTCTGTCCACCCAGCCCTTCATGATTGCAGGCATGCTGAACCAATACAAGGGAAACTGAAAAGCAAAGGGTGCTGTTATTAATAATGAAACATAACTGGCAGAGGTACACCATTTCTTTTGGCCTTGTTTCTATGAGAAAAAAAAATCGTATCACCTTAATCAGTCAAGCCATTCACAGTAAATAAATCCTATAATTCAGAGGATGCAGGAACTATATTTACTTAAGATTACAGGCTTTTCCCCCTTTGGCTGTCTCTGTGGTGGAATATACAATTTTCTGTAACATCCTGATTTTCTCTTTTTCTGCTATTGACTAGGCCGTACCACTTTCCATGCGAGCTCACAGGCTAGGCCTTATGTGCACTGTCAGAACGGGCAACGCATTAGGTGACAAAACTTTCTGGCTTTTTATAAGAAGTTCCTGACTATTGTATTTGTAGTAACACTGTACAGTTAGACTATGAAATTATTAATAAGAAAAATCATGACCTGAAAAATCAACAATTCAGCCTCTTGAACCTTCCTCTGTTCCTCAGTCAAATCACTGGCCAAGCATCTTCTCTTGTAAGCTTCCCACGATTCCACTCCATAATTAAAGTGCTCTGAGTTGTGGAGGAAACCTGTGGAAAATGCATGTCACAGGGCCTCCAATGCTTTATGAAAATTGGCTGGATATATATGACTTATGAATATGCATGAAGATGACTTATGCTAAATGCATCATGTAACTCGGCGGTTCCCACCCGCTGGTCCGAGGACCAGTGCTGGTCTGCAAATTGTTAGCTGCCGGATCACAGTGGCTGGCGGGGCCGAAGCTGGCTGTTCGTGGTGGCTCAGCTCTGACAGCCCTGGTGGTTGATTTTTCCTGGTGATGGCGCTGGAGCTGACGCTAAGAAGGCAGAACAGGTTATGCCTCCTTCCCCTTTCCAACCAGGTAAGATAGCAGCTCAGGAGAGGGCTCTGCACTCCTCCAGACACGCTTGGTTAGGGAGAGGGTGTGAAGGAGGAGGGAGCACACGCATCACCAACGGCCACGGCCCCTGCCCGTGTGGCAGTAACGGCCACGCTCCCTAAAGAGGGCAGCCTCACTCTGGGGAGTGTGGGGCTGGGGTCAAAGAGCAAAGGAGTGTTGGGTGAGGGTGTGGTAGGGTCATGGGTCAAGAGGGTGCTGGTATACGCTCTATGGGTATGTCTACACTACCCCGCTAGTTCGAACTAGCGGGGTAATGTAGGCATACCGCACTTGCAAATGAAGCCCGGGAAATTCAAATCCTGGGCTTTATTTGCAACTCCGTATGACTACATTACCCCCCCTAGTTCGAAGTAGGGGGGTAGTGTAGACATACCCATAGAGACTGTTTATCCTACTCCTACCACTAAATCCACATAAAATAAATATAAATCACAATTTGCTGTCCAAGATGGGAATATTTCATCCCAATGATTTGTCCTGAGTCATTCCATATTGTAAGGACTGATAAACAGCGGTATTCATTTTTTTTTTAAAGTATAGATGAATTTAGTACCTGTACTCATTTCCATTAATGCTCCTTTTACACCACTCTGGCAGCATAAAGGGTTGACAAAGATGTAAATGACCTTAATGTAAATGAAAATCAGGCCATTAGAGTTTCAGGCCTAATCCAGAGCCTCTGCTAAGGAGCTTCACTTCTTCCTGAAATCCATGTGACCAGAAAGAGTTACCATTAGGACTTTAAGACCTGACTTCTAGCTTGCATTTGCATGAGACAGTCTGCAACCTTCCTCACCCACTTCTGCCAGTGCTCTTGCAACTTCCTCTTTCAGTACCGGGTTTTGCTTTAACAGACACTGTCACCTCTGTCAGACCGTGTTACAGTTTTGTGCTTTCACTTCCTAATTTAGACAGCATCAGGATTTTTTTAAAAGACCTACTTGGAGAATGGTTTTCTTAATTATGAGAAACACTTGGAAATCAGTTTTAAGTTTAATATGATTTCCACTGGGTTTCTCAAGTTTTTACTAAGCAAATAAATGAATGATGGCATTACCATATTCCATCAAGGAGAGTAATACTTAATAGACACCCAACCAAATTCATTTATATGAATGAACACTTGGGGATTATTTCCTGAAAACATCTGTAAGCAGACTGGTTCTTGAGAAAAAGTGATTTACAATGATGCTTTTTAACAAGGCACACAAACACTTGTAAGTTATAAAATACAAACATTTGGGCACAAAGGTAACTTTAAAACTTACAGGATACCTCTACACTGGCATGATTTTGCGCAATAACACAAGAGTTTTTGCGTTAAAGTATTTGTGCAAGAGAGCATCTACACTGGCATGTGCCTTTGCGCAAGAGATGTGCTTTTGCGCAAAAGCATCTGTGCCAGTGTAGATGCTCTCTTGCGCAAGAAAGCTCCGATGGCCATTTTAGCCATCGGGCTTTCTTGCGCAAGAAATTAATGTTGCCTGTCTACACTGGCCCCTTGCGCAAGAACAGTTGCACAAGAGGGCTTATCCCTGAGCGGGAGCGTCAGAGTATTTGCGCAAGAAGCACTGATTTCCTACATTAGAACGCTGGTGTTCTTGCGCAAGTACTCACGGCCAGTGTAGACAGGTGGCAAGATTTTGCACAAAAGCACCTGCTTTTGCGCAAAATCTTGCCTATGTAGACACAGCCACAGTCTTATTAGTGACGGCCCAATCCTACTACTGTTGTGGTCAATGGCAAAACTGCCAGACTCAAGAGCGTAGCATCAATTTTTAAAGTGATAGCCTCTAGTACAGTGGTTTTCAACCTGTGGTCTGTGGCCACTTGGGCTGATGCAGAATAGGGCAGATATACACTATTGTTTAAATTAATCTAATTTATGTTGCTCAGGGGTATGAAAAACCCAGCCCAACCCCATGTGATGCAAGTTTCACACTGTCCACACTGGTGATGTGTTAGCAGGAGACACCCTCTCACCAACATAGCTTTTGCTTCTTGCCCAAGTGGAATAATTATGCCAACGGGAGAGTGTGTCTTCACCAAATGCACGCCAGTGGCACAACTGTATCCGTGCAACTGCTCCGATGTAGCGCTATAGTGCAGACTTGCCCTATGACTAAGATCTGCAAAAGGTAACCATGAAAATAAAGTTTCAGAGCCCAGATGAAGTAGTCTACAGTAACTTCTCACTTAATGTTGTAGTTATACTCTTGAAAAATGCGACCTTAAGCAAAATGATATTAAGTGAATCCAATTTCCCCATAATAATTAATGCAAATGGGGGAGGGGGGGGTTAGGTTCCAGGGAAATTTTTCTCAGCAGACAAAAGGCAGAATAACATATACAGTATACGTTTTAAACAATTTAATACCATACACAGCAGTGATGATTGTGAAGCTTGGTTGAGGAGTCAGACTTTGCGGCATTTTCCAGGAATGTCTTGCTGCTAAATGATGAACTAGCATTGACTGAGCCCTCAAAGGTAACACTTTATTAATGTAGCCATTAGGACAGAATCCAGTTTAATTAGTTAACCGGTTGGTTAGACATTAAGTTTAACCAGTTAACTGATTAAACAGGGATAGGGGAGGGGGATAAGAGGAGACACTCCCTCCATCCCTGGTTAATATTCCTAGTAGCCTCACGCTCTAGTCTAGAAGCAACAGAGAGGAAACAACAGACACACAGCTGTGGCTGCAAACACTTCCCTGCAGAAACGGAACATCATGATGATGTGGGGTGCACTACTTTCTCTTCCAGGTGGCACATATATAGCTGTACAGTGCCAAGGAGTGTGTGTGAGACACACACTGAGTGTGAGACAGACATACACACAAGTATATGTGTTTGAGAGAGGCAGACAGATGTGCATTCCCCTTTAAGTATGCTGACCTCACTTCAAATACACTGCTCTTTTAGGTATAGTACTGTAGATCATGGAGTTCAGACTCAAGAATCTGTAGCTGTTTGTAACCTGCTTTGTGGAGATGTAGTACAGAGTGGGGGGCTTAATCAGGGAAAGTCAGGGGCATCCCATCTCCCCTCAGCACCGCAAGCAGGAGGCTCCTGGGAGCAGCTTTGCAGTGGGCAGGCAGCTGCCCAGCCGCACACCCTACAGAGAAACTTAGGGGAGCTGATGGGGAGCTGCTGGCCCACCCTGATTCCAGCCCCCCACAAATATAGGCTGCTCTTCCAGAAAATCTTGCAAGTAATGGACAAAGCAGGATGCCAAATGACATTATAAGGGGCATTAGGCAACTTTAAATGAGCAAGTGCTCTAACAGAGCAATATAACAATGAAATAATGTCACCCTACAGAGAAACTTAGGGGAGCTGATGGGGAGCTGCTGGCCCACCCTGATTCCAGCCCCCCACAAATATAGGCTGCTCTTCCAGAAAATCTTGCAAGTAATGGACAAAGCAGGATGCCAAATGACATTATAAGGGGCATTAGGCAACTTTAAATGAGCAAGTGCTCTAACAGAGCAATATAACAATGAAATAATGTTAACTAGGACAACGTTAAGTGAAAAGTTACTGTATTTTTCTGCTCAAAACAAAGTGTGAATACCCCCACCTACAGGTCAAAACTTGGAAATGTCAGGCCCAGACTGCATCAAATACCATGCTGTGCACATGCAACATTTATGGATGAATTCTGTTCAGTCAGTTTTCACCCTAAGACTTCTATGGTGGGAGCCCATGGGTCGTGGGATGGTTTTCCAAAGGGATCTGCACCTTCATTTGAAATTTTTTAGGGGTCCATAAATGAAAAAAGTTTGAAAACCAGTGCTTTAGTAAATGTCCACGGAAACAAAAATTGCACTTGCTAAATAGAATTTTTTTACACCAAAACTCTCCCCTTTTTTTCCCTCCAGAAAGCACCTGATGCTTGTATCAAACAATGCAGCTTTGGTGTATTGAGTAGGTAAGATTGACTGTAGTTACAATACCAAAGAGACTATTTTAATATGTATTTCAACTAGTCTCACCAGTGATGTCATTTCTCGTTGCTCTTGGTTCAAATTGCATTGCGTACAGATCAGACACGGTGACGCTGCAGCCCTGTTTGCTCAATTCTTCCATGGCAAGATTCTTTAAGGATCCATTCAGAGACTTGGGCTCTTGATGTGCATAAATTATCAGTACTTTTTTCCCTGGTGTTAAAAAGAAAATCTCGAGATACCATGGGGATGAATACATCTGAAATAGCATGCAGAGATGGGGCTTTGTTCTCCATTGTTTAGTACTCTGTTGTCTCAGACCAATGCAGAGAGAGAAACACTACTTGGTCATAATGGTAGTATTTTATAGCCATTTATTTGTGGTACAAGACTTGGTGAAGGGTTGGGCAATGGTGAATCTGGCCCAGTTGAATTCAGTTGTGCTGAAATGGGCTTTCCTAATTGGAACTCAGTGGACAGAGGGGAAAACCCAAAACCTGTTATGTGTTTGTAACACTAGTGCCTGGAGTGACAAGTTAAAATCTTCTGCTTATTTTGTATGCAGCACCACTTTCTCCTGGCAGCACACTCAAGGAACTAAACAAATAGTTAACATTCATAATGTAACAATTAAAAAAAAATGGAAGTATAGCAGTATTTCCTGATTCACTGAGCACAACGAACAGAGAGAGGACTATGTATGTTCCTATATATATATATGAAGACAGTGGTTTGTGGACACAGACACACAGACACACAGACTTAAATCTGAGGTGAGAAAGACCTGCAGGGAGGAAAAGCTGCATCTCTGAGGAGCCAACAAAAAAGGCTTAGTTATCTGAAGAACTAAATTTGGGTGGTGGAAGCAAGGGATGGATATGCCAGGTTTCCATCAGCCTGGTGATTAAGTTGGAGGTTTCAACTATAGCCAGGAGTATTTTAATTAAGGGCTTGAAAAACTACTCTGCTTCTTTACCATTAGTGAATATAAGGAATAATGTGAAGAGCAGATGTTGATCTACTAAAAGTAGGTTACAGATACCAGCACCAGATAAAAAGTTAAAGCAGCCCTGCCAAGAGGGCATCACGAACACCAAGAATTGATTTAATAAGAATATAAATACACTTGAAACAATTGTGATCTCATTCAGAAACTTATTCATGAATGTATAGGGAGGACAGGCTCCCATTTGCTGTTGAAGAGCCTGTTTTTGCAAACCCTACTTGCTGAGTAGTCTACAAGGTACTAAATAGCATCAAGTTCCATGGAGCTGAAGGGCCACTTAGCACTGTAGACTTGGGGTAAAATTTTCAAAGGCACCCAAGTCTGATGGGACTTGAAGTGCCCTAGTTGCTTTAGAAAATGTTACCTTACAGCCCCATTCAAGCACCGATGGAGCTAGGACATTTCTGATCCTAACGTGCATAGCTCCAAAATGACTCATTCTCTCAATACCAAAGAAAATGATCTCTTTTTACCTGCCATTTTACACAAAGCCTTTAACAATCTTCCTCTTTAGAGCATCCAATATTTCCTGTAGCAGACTCCCAAAAGAGATGTGCTCATTGGAGACACGCCATAACCGCGAAAAAGGCAGGCTTTTCCTATCGGCACCACCTTGCTGAAAGTACTCTCTGAATCTGAAACAAAAGGATGCAGGATGCAAAAGAATAATTAAGAAACAAGTGTGGATGTATAGATTGTACTGTAAGTACAAGGAGCTATATGATGGTGTAGAGTGTGAAGGTTTTATCAATGTAATTTTTGGATGGCTGCTTTAGTCACTGGTGGTGAAGTGACAGGTAAGTTATATACATCATATTCACATATAGATACATATTGGGGCAGAAGGATTGGTATGCTCTGGCTACTTACAATGCTCCAGCAAAACATCTATAAACCAGTGTTTCTCAACCTTTTTTTTAATAAAATACCTCTTTAAAAAAATTGTAAGTACACCCAGTACATAGTTTTCAGACAAATATTTTCTCTACCATTGCAACACATTTGTTTAAACAACTTAATTGTAGCCAGGTGGGCAATGCATGTTTTGGATGTAAAAAGTACAAAAATAATAAGACACTGAAACTTAAACCAAAAATTCAGTTCTCCAAATTTCAGTTGTGGTGACGTACCCCCCAGACTTCTCTCAAGTACCCCTAAGGGTTGAGAAACACTGCTATAAACCCACTTTAACTGTCTGGTTAAGCTAGATTTATAGCTGCTTTCATGAGTGTCTACACAACAATGAATTTTACTACTTTGGAAGGCGCTAATTCTTCTAATAGCTTCTAACAACATTTCAACATAATTTCTCTCAAACTCTCCATGCCTGAGCATATAGTATATTTATATTAAGTACTCATTGAATTGTTTAATCACAGGTACATATTGAAACCTGCATTTCAGTTTCAAACATCCGCCTTTAAAACACTAGATTCCAGCCTGAAGGCACTTTGCAACCAAATCACTGAGTTGTGGGGTCAGAGTATAACCACTTCCTCACCCTGGTGAACATTCTCACGCAGATACATGTAGCTATAACTGCTCATCAAGATGTGTTAAAAGTGTTACCAAATGCCCCTTTGTGTTTTCCTGTAATTAAAATCATAGTCTAAATGGATGCTATATATTGTGAAAAGAAGCCTTATCCTGTGAATAGCTTCACTCAAATCCATGGGACTACTTACAGAGTAAGATACTTTTCATTATGAGTAAGAATCACAGACTGGCCCAGAAAGTCCTAACTTGTATATGTTACTTGTATTGTCATAGCCTGTAATAAAACATTTTAAACTGATCTCCATGAAAGCAGATGGGGTTCTGACTTCTGCTCACCCTGTTTTTCTTCCCAGTTAAAATACCACAATAGGGCAAGCATGTGTGTGTGTGCAAGGTTGTCACTTAGTGTAAGCCCAGTACATCTGTTTTATAGATCTGCAGAGACTTTCCTAAGTTTTTCCAACCATCCTCTTGGCACCCTGGACACTTCTGTTGTGCAACGTTTGCATGTCACCTGCTGCCTGGCTCCTTTTGTGTGTAAAGTTCAAACCCACCAGCACCATTTCCAACCCAACCTACTGCACTGTTATAAAGATTCTTCATCTTCGCTGCAAAAAAATGTGTTGTGTTTTTTTACATGAAGGTACAAGTGACAATCGAGTTTGCCAGTTTTACTTAGACTCATTCCCGGAGGTTTCAGCACATGACCATCTTTAATTAAAGATCAATATTAAATTCCTGGAGACCCCAGGCCAGCCTTAGAGACTCTCAGTTTCAATATCACAACATTTTGCTGTGAAGACACAGCCCCAAGCTGTCTGTACAGTGTGTAGCACATCACATGAAAGCTGCATGCATCTCAGGCTTGGTCTACACTACAGAATTAGCTAGGCAGTTTATGTTGACATAATTATGTCAGTGTCTACACTACAGCCTTGCTCCAGCTGTTGTAAGTGACCACCTACCCCCACATAATATTGCCACCTCCAGGAGAGGCAGGGGCTTATGTCAGTAAAGTTAGGGAACACAGTGTCCATGTAGACACTGCATTACTTCATCAGCAGTTGAGTGTCACTCTTGTCAATTTCATGGCTCCATGCATGGATGGTGGGTAGAATAAGCCAGGGGAGGCTAAGCCACCCCAAACAAGATGTGGCACACCTCCCTTTGGAAGCATGCCACAGGCCTGCTGCCTCTAGTGTGCTGCCCACACTCTGCCCTAGGCCTCGCTCCTGCGTCGCACTCTTCTCCCATGGCTCTGCCCACGCTGCTCCTCTTCTTGCTCCCTGTCTGTCTCTTCCCCTCTTCCAAGGCCCCATCCTCACTCTTCCCTCTTCCCTCACAGACATCTCCCCTCTCCACTCCTCACACCTCTCCGGCACTTCCCCTGTAGTTCCCCCATCTTTGCTCCTCCCTCACAGCCCCTCCACCCACTACTCATGCCTCTTCACCCCGAGAGGGAGAGAGGAGTGGGTGGCAGGTGGGGAGGCCTCTTAGAGGTGCAGGTGGAGAGAGGCATGATGGACAGGTTGTGTGGGGACCTTGGGGGATGTGGCCCACCAGGGCTTGGGGCAGAGTGGGGGTTGGCAGTGGAGCAGGGGGCAGGACCATGCTCTGAGCATGGGTGCCTCCCCTTCTAGGGAGCTTCTAGCACTCAGGGCCCACCTCCCCAAATATGGAGGTCATGCACCACCCACGCTCCATGCCTGGGCCGGTAGTGGGCTCCTGCTACAGGCCAGCAGCACTCCATTCCAGCTGCCTGATCCCAGCTGGGCTACTGCTTGTGCTCCCTGCTGGAAGCTCTGCTGCCCCCAGGATACCCGATCCCAGCCAGGCTGCTGCTCAGGCTCCCCATGCCCAGCTCCCCACTCCTAGAGGCAAGAGGCCCTGGCTTCCAGCTACCCTGCCCCACCACTGCTGCTCTTCAGGTGGAAGCCCTCCTGGTAAGGGCACACCACTGACAGAAGAAGGGTGTTGTAGAGACCAGCTACCACAATAATTACTACAATGGCTGCAAAGTCGGCCTAACACGTCAGCTGCAGCATAGAGATGCCCCCAGTGTTTGCAGACTGGGCCTTTCTTACCTGTATCTGGGTCACAAGGAAAGAAGCTTGTTCCTGGATGAAAGTGAAGCTGCAGCTCTTTGGAAAGGACTGTGAGAGAGAGAGAGAGGCATGCAGCCAGTCCTGCCTGCAAATGAAACTCCCCCCTGTTGGGAGCCCTCTCCCTCTCCCTCTCCCTCCTTTCAGTGTTACAGCTGCAGAATTAGACCAATAGGAGGGTGTTAGGCACACACTCCCCACCTCCACGAGTGCCAGCAGGGACCCACATGATTGGCTCCCTATTGATTCTGCTGATTCTGTCTAGCTCCTGTCTCTCTGCCCCCTGGCAGGTCACCAGAGGCTCTCCCCACCCCCTGGTTACTGGGCCCACACTCAAGGCTCTTGGAGCTCTGCTGATTCACTCTGCAGGCAGCCTCCTCCAAGGGATGCATGATCTTCAGCAGCTGTGACACAACTTTAAAGGCAAGGATGTGAATTTCCATATTGCCCTCTGATCCCAGACCCCCTGGAAGGCTCCCTAACATACCGGCTCCCGACACACAACTCTTCATTAGGGGTAGATCAATCCATATTCCCAGCTTCACAGACGAATGGGGCCCTTAGAGATAGAGGAGAAGCTGAATTGCCTGAGTGTTATTTATTGCTCAGGCTCCATAGTGACCTGCTGCCTGGTGATACTGGCAGGGTTCATCTCCCTCACCCCCAAACCCAGAAATCCACCATCCCATTTACAGGCTTTGTGCAAGAGCCTGACCATGCAGAACCCCCATACACAAGCATCTGTGACAAGCCAAAGCACAACTCCCTGCCGCGTGTGCATCCATGCAACCAGAACAGGCATCCAGAGCTGATATCACTATGTTTACAGTTCATTTAAATCAGGGGTGGGGAATTTAAGGCCTGGGAGCTGAATTTGGCTCTCAACTTGCCTGGATCTGGCCCTCAAGGCTTGCCCCGCCCCCCTCATTGGGGAGCCTGAACTGGTGCTCCAGCCCTCCCGCCATCCTTCCCCCAGGGCTGGAGCACACAAAATATACTAGGTTGGTCCCCCTCCCCTGGCTCTGGCTCTGGTGTGCGAGGAGAATGTAGGGAGTGTCTTTCTCCTTTTCAGTTGGGGACCATGTCCGTGAGAGTTGTTTTTTGGGGTGTTTTTTTTCTCACTTGTGTGCAGCCCCCAACTTATTTTTCTGTGGGTTAGTGGTCCTCAACCCAAGGTTGCTCACCCGTGATTTAAATGTTAAATTCTCCTTTTGATCTCTGAATTAACAGAATACAGCATAGACTGGGACTGTGTGATTACATCGTTAACCTCTAACAATACATAGATAAACACACACAAAAAACCCCACAAATATTATTTACTGATATGTCTCTAACCATTGAATCTGGGTCATTTACCCTGGAATGAACTCCCTGCCGCGTGTGCATCCATGCAACCAGAACAGGCATCCAGAGCTGATATCACTATGTTTACAGTTCATTTAAATCAGGGGTGGGGAATTTAAGGCGATAGGTAAACCCCCACAAAAAAACCCACAAATATTATTTACCAATATGTCTCTAACTGTTGAATCTGGGTCATTTACCCTGGAATGTACTTAACCTTTTCTCGCTACGTGTCACGGCTGAAATATAAAATAAGAAGCTGGATGCTAAGGTCCTTGCTTATTGACATAACGGGAGGTTGTGTGGCCTACTGGCTAATGCCCTCAACTGGTACGCTAAAGACTTGGATTCTATTCACAATGCTGTCACTGGTATGCTGGGTTAACTTTGACAAGTCACTTCTCACCTCAGTTTCCTCATCTGTAAAATGGTGATAATGATACCTCCCTTTGTAAAGTGATTTTGAGATCTGTTGATGAAAGGCACTACATAAGTGTTATTTATATTAGTGTACTGAAGGCAATTGGAGTTCCTTTGAGGCACACTGAATAAAATAATGGATCTTGCTTAAAGTCTTTAAAAATCGTATCTATTTTGTTTTTAGCTTATGCAAACTAGCAAGCTGAAAAGTATATTTTTTTCTTTGTGGTGTGTATACACTCTAGATCAGAGGTCAGCAGCCTTTTCAAACCAAAGAGCCAAACTACATCAACATTCAGAACAAGTGGTCAACAAAGAGCTGTACAAGAATACCCATTTACATGACTTAAAATATACAACTTAATATTATTGATGACTGACATGATGATTAATAGCATAAAGTAAACATTTTACTCAGACTTCATTTTATGGGACTTCCGCTGCTGCTGGGTATGCAGGAGTCCAGGTGCAGGAGTCTGCAGGTTGCAGGAGTCTGTGGCGGTGGATGTGGGGGTTCAGAAGTCCAGGTTGGGTTGTATGAGGGTCTCAGAGCAAGGCAGTGGGGCGTGTGGGAAGTTCCGGAGGCAGGACGGGGCACTGTGGGTGGGAAATAAAGTAAGTGGAAGGGTCTTGGGCCGGATTACTTTAGCTGGCTGGGGCTAGGCTGCTGCACCCAGGCAGCAGTGGCTGGACAAGGGGCTGGGCCAGGAAGGCCACCGCAGGATCGTGGCCTCCCCTCCTACCCATGTCACAGCAGAAGGAGAACCGCCACCAGCACTTCCTGCAGCCAGATGGGGGCTGGACCGCGGGGCCTGCTCCAGGTTTGGGGCTGGGGACAGGACGCTATGGCCGGATGGGGTCTGGCATTGTTGGCCAGAATTTATTTTAAATAAAGTAAAATATTATGTCCAACGCTAAAGGTTTCAACATTGTCTTTATTTATGGCAGGGGGGGGGGAAATTTTTTGGGTCAGGGGTCACTGACCTACAGAAAAATCAGTCAGGGACCACACAAGTGAGAAGCAAAAAAAACCCTCCAAAACCCCCCAAACCTCACTGATGTGTCCCCCAACTGAAACACCTCACTCCCTGGTGCTCCATCCCCATCGTTAAGTGAGGGCAGGGAGAACTGAGGTTCAAGGCCTCTTCAGGCCAGATTAACTCTGCTGGGGTTCCAGGGTTAGAGGATTTTGTGGGCTCCCCTAGGTCCTGGATGCGGACAAAAATGAGGGGTTCAGTGTGCAAGACAGGGCTGTCGGTGAGTGGGATAAGGAAGGGGTGCAAGAAGCGGGGAGAGGGTGTGAGGTAGAGTGCAGGAGCAAGCTGGGAGTAGGGTGCATAGCCAGGAGAAGGAGGCAGGAGCAAGGGAGAGTGCAGGAGCAGGCTGGGGGGCAGAGTGTCTGGCCATGAGGGAGGGTGCAGGAGCAGGGGAGTATGGAGGAACAGGCTGGTGGTAGGGTGTGTGGCCAAGGGCAGGGAGGTGAAGGAGCATACTGCGGGGCAAGGTGTCTGGCCAGGAGGGAGGTCCAGGAGCAAGGGAGGGTGCAGGAGTGGGCTGGGGATATGAGGTCTTAGTGGAGGGTGTGTGTGAGTGGGCTGGGGGTGCAGGGTCTCAGCAGGGTGGTGAGTGAGGGGGCAGAGGGTGCAGGGTCTGATTTGGGAGAAGAGAGGGGCACTTACTTGCTTTTGCACCGCTGCCAGCACCATTTCCCAGGCATGGCCTTCTGCTACTCCCATTGGCAGGATTCTCCAGGAAGCACATCCATGCGCTGCTGTCCCCCAGCTCGGGGAAGGAAAAGGAAGCAGCAGCATGTGGAGCCGCTTCTAGCTCTGCTTCTTCCCTGCAATCTGGATCTGACAGGGAGGCACAGGGCTTCCCCCCCACCTCCCACAGGAAGCCAGTCCTGGTGCTCCAATTTTTCAGGGGGGTCGCAAGGCTGGAGTGCCAGCACAGGCTCCCTGTTGAAGGGGGGGTTGAGCTCGAGCTGCAAGGAGCCATATCTGGCTCCCTAATGAGCCATATTTGACTTGAGAGCCATAGGTTGCTGACCCTTGCTCTGGCTGATGTAAAGGTAGGGAAACTAAAGGAAAGCTGCCAGTATGGTATATCCTGTACCAGGGGAGGGGAGCAATAATATATTAGAAATGCATCTTTCCTCTTTCCATACATAATAATATTTCAAAAAGATCATGTCTCCTTCGTTTCCCTCCCTTCATTCCTTGCCCTGAATAATAGGGATGGGTTAAAAAAATTTCCTATTTGCCCCTAGCAAAAAATGTTCTAAACGCATGCTATGGCTCTGTCAGGGCATTCATGGAGAATGCTGCTTTATCATTCTGCCTGGGGCTGCTTCCCTTCTGCCCTTCATCTATGCTTTGTGCCTTGATCCTGTAACTGACTCTGCACAGGCTGACTCCTCTGGCCACTTATATAACCCCTCTGACTTCCGTGACGTAACATGCAGGTGCACCTGGGCAGAACCAGTGAGCGGATCTAGCCCTTAAATCAGTCAGGGAGTCAGGGGCTGCACACAAGTGAGGGGCCTGGGTGGGGCCCAGGCTAGTAGATTGTGTGCTACAGCCAGCTGGGGAACAGCTGGGGGGCTGGAGCACTAGTGTGGGCTCCCCAGTGCTGGGGGGGGAGCAAGTGAGCCTTGGGGGCCAGATTCAGGCAAGCTGGGAGCTGCATCTGGCCACCTCTGCCTTAAATGGTAAGGTATTTGATACAGGGGCTGGCCCAGACCCTCAGCATCTAGCTGACGTTTTAGGCTTATAAGTCCTCCTGATAGGTGCCATGATAGTTTTAAAGATATCATTCAACTGCTGCCTAACCCCTTGGGTGTGTAAGTCCTCTAGGCATGTAAGCTTCTGTTAGTCAGCATTTGCTAAGCCACCCTACACCCAACAAGCAGCTTGGAGTCCGCAGCCCTGAAATGGGTTTCCCAAGCTAGACGGGAAAGCTTATCTCACCAGCATGACCCAGTTCAGTAAATGTGCCCTGTGCACATCTCAGACCTGACACCTGTCCTACCCCACAATGGTAGGAAGCTGAACCTCACCATACAAAGACAGCTGGGGGCACAGGGAAACGCAGGGCAAGTGTGAGAGAGATGTTGGGCATGAGCAGGAGACAGAGGGGGTTTCAGTTGCTATTCCTAGGCCTACTTCAGTGGCTTAACTGCTCCTGAGTGATGAGAGGTGCATGTCTATCTCTGCTCCAACAGCCAGGCCCATTAGGTCACCTGTGTAGGTGCCTCTCCTCTCCCTTCCCTCCTGCTTGGCATTACACTCCTGGCTAACTTTGGCTGCTCCCCATGCAGCTTGCTGATTTCTGAGGATCCCTGTTCATTCTAGCATTGTTGTCGTCGTCA